CTGCAACGAGGCGTGAGACAGGGAGACGTGATATCTCCAAAGATGTTCACTGCTGCGTTGGAGGATATTTTCAAGCTTCTGGACTGGAAAGGACTTGGCATCAACATCAATGGCGAGTACCTAACACACCTTCGATTTGCCGATGATATAGTTCTTATGGCTGAGACCTTGGGAGACCTGAACACAATGCTCGAAGATCTCAGTAGTGTTTCCCAAAGAGTGGGTCTTAAGATGAACATGGACAAGACGAAGATCATGTCGAATGTCCATGTTGTACCCGCTCCAGTTAAAATTGGGAGCATTACACTCGAAGTTGTTGACCATTACGTATACCTGGGGCAGACAGTCCAGTTAGGTAAGTCCAACTTTGAGAAAGAGATCTCTCGTCGAATCCAGCTCGGATGGGCAGCGTTCGGGAAACTCCAAAAAATCTTTGCGTCCAAATTACCTCAATGTCTCAAGACGAAAGTCTTTGACCAGTGTGTGTTGCCAGTGATCACATATGGATCAGAAACGTGGTCCCTCACTATAGGCCTCATAAGAAGGCTCAAGGTCACTCAGCGGGCAATGGAGAGAGCGATGCTCGGTATTTCCCTGCGTGATAGAATCAGAAATGAGGAAATCCGTAGGAGAACTAAGGTAACCGACATAGCTCGAAGAATTGCTCAGCTGAAGTGGCAGTGGGCGGGGCACATAGCTAGGAGAACCGATGGCCGTTGGGGCGGAAAGGTTCTTCAATGGCGACCGCGCACCGGACGACGCTCAGTGGGTAGGCCCCCCACCAGGTGGACCGACGATCTGGTGAAGGTCGCGGGAAGCCGATGGATGCGGGCAGCGCAGGACCGATCGTCGTGGAGATCGTTGGGGGAGGCCTATGCCCAGCAGTGGGCGTCGTATGGCTGAATGATGATGATGATAATGTTCTGCGCCCGTTAAACGAAAATTACGCAATTAAAAGGTTTGCCGACGGGCTTAGTGGACTTACACCCCAACCGAGCAGCGAAAGCGCGCGGAGGACACAGAGGATACGCGCGAGGGCAGTCCGCCGTAAAGGTAAATACGCCAAATTATTATTACAGACGGTCACAGTACTCATATCACCCAAGAAACCCAAGAGTGTTTTCTCTCTCGAAACTCGTACAGGGTGGGTATCAGGGCAATCGCCGTCAATCATCCCATAGGAATGTGAACTTTATATCCACGACAGGTGACCCCTGCATGGCAACGGAACGTGACCGTGATGAATCAGAGCAAGCAAATATGTCACATTTGAATAATTTTTTTCGAGTCTGACTATGTATGTATGTGCAACAGCTTATGTAAAGTATGTATTAATTTGGACAGGCATGAGCACAACAAAAGGGAATGGCTAATCGACACCGGCGCTTCGATTTCAGTTGTCAAGCACGATAGAATAAAATGTTTACGCATTCCATTCCATAAAGAAAAACTTTGGGTCAACGGCGTTGGTGGAAGCGTACAGTCAGAAGGATATATTTATTTACAGCTCAAAATTGATACCTATACTATAGAACATAAATGTTATGTATTGGATAAATTGCCATGCAAAACTGATGAAATTTTAGGGCAAGATTGTTTGACAAAGTACAAAGCAGTTGTAGACTTCGAATTAAATGAATTAAGAATTTGTAATTTAGAGAGACCTGTCACATTACCCATTACTTATTTGAGACAAGATAGTTCATATTTAACAATTCCAGCAAGAAGCGAATCAATTCATTATGTTGACACGAAGTTAAAACAGGAATGTGTCATTACTTCTCAAGAATTATGTCATGGAGTATACATTGTTAACATTATAGTACAGCCACATAATGGTAAGATACCTTTTAAAATAATGAATACACGACATGAGGATGTAATTTTGAATTATTTTAATTTAAACGTTTCTAAGTTAAATGATTATTATTTATGTCACTTTAATAAGTCGAATATGAACGCAGAGAGGGTCAAGTCTTTGTTTTCTTTACTAAAATTTGAAAATCTAAATGAGGAAGAACAGACAAAAAGGTCTATTGAAAACATTTGTGCCAAATTTCCAGACGTCTTTCACGTACTAGGAGATAAATTGACAACGACTTTTATCAAATAAAATTAAATAAAAACAGTCGACAATACACGGCATTCACAACAACCAAAAATCAATATCAAATGACTAGATTACCAATGGGACTAAAAACTAGTCCCAATGCGTTTTCTAGAATGATTACGATTGCTATGTCGGGATTAAATTACGAGCAGTGTTTGGTATATCAGGATGACCTATGTGTTTTTGATAGAAACCTTAAAAATCATAATAAAAAATTAATGGATTTGTCTCGGTTACGCAAAATCAATTTGAAATTAAATCCAGCAAAATGTAAATTTTGTACCTTGGCCATGTAATAGCAGAAAAAGGTATTTTACATGACCCAGAAAAAACTAAAGTATTACAAAATTACCCACAACCAGCTAACACAGATGACGTAAAGAAGTTCGTGGCGTTTGCGAATTATTACCGTAAATTTATACCCAATTTTGCAGAAAAAGCTTATCCTCTTAACAGGTTGTGTTGTAAAAACGTAACATGTAAATGGACTGAAGCGTGTGAACATGCTTTCCATTCATTAAAAACAGCCTTAGTTAGACCTCCTGTTCTTCAGTACCCAAATTTTCAGGAGAGTAATGAATTTATATTGTAAACAGACGCGTTGGGGCACGCCATAGGATCGGTGCTATGTAATAATGACGGCAGGCCTGTAGCATCCGCTACTCTAAATAAGGCCAAAAGAACTATCCCACTATCGAAAAAGAGCTCTTAGCGATAGTGTGGAGTGTAAAATATTTTCGACCTTATTTATACGGCAGAAAGTTTAAAATCCAAACCGATCACAGGCCATTAGTATATTTATTTAGTATGCGCGACTCTTCTAGCAAATTACTTAAATTTAGAAGAATATAATTATACAATAGAATACATAAAAACACATACATAAAAAAGTAGCAAAAATTCAGCCGTGGATGCCTTATCAAGAATACTGATAACGTCTGATGATTTAAAAATGTTAAATAAACAAGTTTTAAATGTTATGACTCGTGGGCAAGTGAGACGCATGCGAGAGAGCGAACGAGAGAGAGATGCGCCAAATTTGGTGGCCAATAATCATCCCCGAACTCAAGGTCTGATCAACCGAGAGTTGTGGAGATAATTAAAAAGCCAGAACATTTGGTTGAGTTAGAATTAGTAAATAATAGGAAATTGAGAAACATAGAGAGAAAAGAAATAATTATGGAAAGGTCTAATTATTTTATTTTTGTACCAAGTAAGAGTAAAATTTATTTTACTGGAATATTATCTCGATCATCGATTACGCGAGATGTGTTGGTGAGAAATCCATGAAACTTGTGTATGAAAACAAAAATAAAGGAATTATGCATAATAAAGAGTCAGAATAATAAAAGTTTTATTGCACAGATAATAAATGTAATAAGAGAAACGAAAGATTGGTCCCGACCACGAATCTGTGTATTGAAAAGCGTACAAAGAATAAATAACGTAGATGATAGGCGAGTAATAATCAATGACTTTCACCTGTTGCCCACTAGTGACCACGCGGGTATTAGGCGAATGTCAAATAATATAAAAAAGTTTTATTACTGGCCTAGTATGGATAAGGATATTCAGGAGTTTGTAGCAAAATATGACCTTTGCCAAAAACAAAAATATTCAAATAAAATCAAACAGCCTATGGAAATAAAATTATGCATTTGAAAAGATTTATTTAGACATACTTGGTCCTCTGCCTACAAATAATGCCGGTCATTCTTACGTTTTCACGTTACAGTGTGAACTATCAAAGTTCATAGAGGCATATCCGCTACACACAAAAGATGCTAAATCGGTTGCATCTGCTTTTGTTAATAATTTTATTTTGCGTTTTGGCATACACAGGGAAATTGCAACAGATCGTGGATCTGAATTCATTTCAAACACAATGGTCGAACTTTGTAAACTATTAAAAATGAAGAACCTTACTTCAACAGCGTACCACCACCAGTCCATAGGAGCGCTCGAGAATACACATAAGACTATGGGTGCGTATTTACGTATTAATTGCCTTAACCGAACATGTTCGTGGAGCAGCTGGCTGCCGTTCTGGTGCTTCGCGTACAATAATGCGGCACATACAGAGACAAGGTACACACCGCATGAACTGGTATTCGGAAACTCGTGCAAATTGCCGAACAATTTAGATTCCGGTATAGATCCTTTATATAACTACGATAGTTATCCACTTGAATTAAAATATAGATTACAGGGTGCATAGCAAGATGCAAGGAAAAACTTATTAGGAAATAAGTTAAAACGGAAGAAGGCCTATGACGTATATGTTAATCCAGTGACGTACACTAAAGGTAATTTAAATTATCTGCTACTTAAAAATGAAACAGGCAACAAAATAGAAAGTACATATTCGGGTCCATTTTTAATTAATGAAGATTTAGGATGTAACGTTAAAATCATGAGAAATAATAAGGAAGAAATAGTACACAAAAATCGCACAAAACCTTATATTATGTAAAATACATAAGTAAAGTAGGTACCCACCCACATAATTAATTTAAGCACCTTATTGTATACAAAATAATAATAATTATTATAAAATTAATAAGAATAATATATTGCTTTTTGACTACTAAACAAAATAAAATGTAACTAACTATTTGTAACTATGCTATAAGAAAATATATGTATAAGTATTTGTTTTGTATAACGATAGAAATAAAATAGAAATTATATAAATTTTATTTTTTGTTTGTTACGGGGAAAGTGTATAAGAATTGTTATTATTAAGCACCATGTATTTACAAAGTTGAAGCAGTATAAGAATTGTTATTGTTAAGCACCATGTATTTACATCTTTGTTATTACTTATTACATTCAGTGTTAATCAAGCATCGAGTTGTCTCATTCATCTCCGTCGTACGCTCTCCCTACAGCGGGACCCCAGTGGCTTGCTCAATCTTCCGCTGCTTGGCCTCAGTTGGACCTAACTAGTACCCATGATAACACTGACGATCGAGGAAAAAGTACATTCTTTTATTGTCCAAGATGAAACCATACTGGATAGGTTTATCATTCAGTACTCTTCCATTCGTAAAGCACAAAGAATCTTAGCATACTGCCGTAGGTTCATGCATAACTGTCGCAACCCTGAATCTCGGGAGACTCAGTCGTTTCCAACTCGTCTGGAACTTTACGACGCTTTATTAGTTTACGCAAAAAGAGTTCAATCCGTTCTTTTCGCTTACGAAATTAAAAAACTAAAGGAAGGTAAACTCCTACAAAAACAAATGCGCAAACTTAATCACTTTTTAGATGGCCGTGGTATTCTCAGAATGGGCGGACACTTATCTCGTTCGGGCCTGGAGTGTGATCACAAACGTCCGGCTCTCTTACCCGACTAACTCAGCTTATAATCCAAGCAGTTCATCCGGAGAATTTTCACCCTGGTATAAATACAATGCATTATTATCTCATTTCGCAACAGTTTTGGATTATCTCTCCAAAGTTTTCGATTAGGCATTATTTATCAGACTGTGTATCCTGTATTCGTACCAAGCCCGTTACGCTGCAACCATTTATGAGCGATCTCCCTGCTCCACGCGTCAACCAAGTTAAACCTTTTTGTATAGTCGGAGTAGATTACGGTGGTCCCTTTCGTATTCGGCAGGGTCGACATAGAAGAGCAAAGATAGGAAAGGCATACTTGTGCCTTTTCGTGTGCTTTGCGACAAAGGCTTTACATTTACAAGTCGTTTCAGACTTATCCTCCGAGGCTTTCTTAGCCGCACTTCGTCGCTTCGTAAGTAGACGAGGTCGCGTTAAAACAATACATTCCGATTGTGGTACTAATTTTGTGGGGTACACAATTTGTTGAATTCATATATGACAAATGCCTGCAATCAAGACCTAATAGATTTTAAATTTAATGCCCCATCTAGCCCACACTTTGGTGGCATATGGGAAATTCAAATAAAATGTGTTAAATCGCATTTATATCGACTGATGGGTGATCATCCGCTAACGTTCGAAGAACTGTCTACAGTCTTCGTTCAAATAGAAGCCATGCTAAATTCGCGTCCACTTTACGCACTTAGTGCAGACCTCAACGACTTCAACGTACTAACGCCAGGTCATTTTCTTACCTTAGAGCCTTTAACCTCTGTTCCGGATGAGGATTTTACGGCTATCAACATATCTCGATTAGGAAGATGGCAGATCATTCAAAGATTTCAGCAATAAATTAGAGTACCTGCATTCACTTACCCAACGAGCAAAGTGGACTAAACATTCGAAACCATTGGACATCAACTCTGTCGTAATTCTGAAACTAGTTTGAATTCTGCAAACCAGCTATAAATAGTCGTCCTGCATGGTGCTTCATCGCCAAAAGCAGTTTGAAGCCGAGGGAAGCTCCGCTGAGCTGTTCAATTACACTTAAAGTCGTAGAAAATCATGCTACGAAAATGTTCACTAGTGAAGTTCATGGTGAGTAGACAATCAACAAAAATGTGGTGCGACTACATTGGCCCTTAGCACGCGTAGTAGAATTACACCCAGGTCCTGATGGTACAGTTCGCGTGGCTACTGTTCGCACTGCGAGCGGATCAATCCTCAAACGTCCCCTCGTAAAACTATGTCCGTTGCCGAACCAATCAGATTAGTACCAACTTCATATTTTTATTTAAAATAGTTTTCTAATTTTGTCGTAATTTTAGTACGTAATTGGTTTTTGTTTTTGTATCTGCATAAGTGTAGCTTACAATACCCATTCGTGGTACATATCGTTCTAATCGTAGTTTTTTTTTTGAAAATACTTTCACATGTATTTTGGTGGGCGGTATGTACGGTTTTCATAAACGTGTTAGTTCTTCGTTAAATATTCGCGCGGCTTGCAACGTCAAATACGTCATTCATGAAGGCTATTGGCGGCCTATTGGCGGGCGTAAGCACTACACGCCGTTACTTTCGAGCACTTTTCGACGCGCTCCACCTCAACAAGGCCAAAATGACCGGTGTTCTCTAAAATACATAAATTACCTAAAATCTCATGAGACCGTGGAACCTGGTGCTAAATAGACATATCGTGAACTTGTCCATAATTCAAAGCCTTGCCCTGCGGATCAAATTATCCTCATCGTGGTGTCACCCAAATCGCAACACGCGATGCCGGCTAGCTAGCTGCCGTGATCCAGCAGCTCCTGTATTTTCATCAACCAAATCAAGGTAAGTGGTGCTTTGTTCAGTGTTTGGCATTGACGGTGCAACCTGTAGGTACGGTTCTCATCTTCCAAGAGGAATCGCGAGACGGCTCATTGTGGAGCTACGTCTATCCTGCAGATGTATGGATCCTTACCATTTTGTTACCTTCATTCCCATACAATCAGTGTTATACCTTTTAACCGACTTCAAAAAAGGAGGAGCTTCTCAATTCGACTGTATGTTCTTTTTTTTTTTTGTATGTATGTTATGCGATAACTCCGGTATTTGTGAACCGATTTTCATGATTCTTTTTTGTTGGAAAGGGGGTACTTCCATAGTGGTCCCATTTCATTTTGAAGAAAATCATCCACCTCGAAGGGTGGTTGTTCACGCATGAAGATTCATTTTCATAAATAGCGCCTAACATTAATTTAGGAGCAATTGCTTTAATGGTTGATTTTGCTATTTCTCCAATTCAAGGCGTTTTTCTCTCAATGTACTTTGAGTAGTGAGAACCGATTTTTATTATCTCCAGTGTCAGGTCCTGTATAGTGGCGAACTAGGGGATATTTCAATAAAACTTAGCAAATAGACGTAATTCCACGTACTTTTGAGGTCGGTTTTTTTAGTACTCTGTACTGAGATTATTTTCATTAGAAATATTATTTGACCTGTAATAGTAGTGATGAGAGGCACAGTTTTCATTATACTTTTTACATGTGGACTTTTAAAGTAATAATTTAAAGTAATAATTAAAGATAGAGCCGCTTGATGTAGGCACGTCAACTTATTTTGTGATACCTAGTAAGTAGGTCCTACTTACATTACTGTTTTGTGTTGCCATTGTAATTTTTTTATTAAGCAATCATTCTTCCAAGTTTCGAGTTCGGATTTAGATAATAAAAATAAGCGGGTGATAAATGCCCGTCTGGCTGAATAAATAACGAATTCGTATTACTAAGTGTAACAATTAGATATGGCCTTCTTTATTTAAATTGTGTAAATGCCCATAGTATCTTTAGGAATATCAGCTATTTAAATACAAGGGGCCGAGGCCTCTAGAAATTATTTTTACCGAGGACATTTATTTGTACCGAGGTGTTAACGCACAACAGTGACAAAGAAAACATCTTTATATTAATGTTTACCTTTTATTTTATTAACGTTACATGTACCTTTATTTTCCATAAGTTTGTTTGCACGATAGCTGTGCTACACATATCAAAGTAGATGAACGTTGCTGTTTACAAGGCCCAAACTCGCACGTAGTCTACTTGCATTGAAGAGTCTCCTCCTTCGCTCATGTCCCAGGTTGGCATCCAATTGCCCTGTGCCATCCAAAAGTCCGTTGCAGCCTGTACAAAAATGCATTTTAATAACTCGGTTCAAAGTGAAAAAAAATCGATGTATATTATATAATGTAAGTTGTGGTTCTGTGTTAGGTTTACGCATATCATTTTTACACATGAAACATAATAATATGTAGATAAAGTTATGTTAACTCGTGATATATTTGGCATCAATATGAGAATTAATTTCTTTAAGATTTTATAAGGTGAGGGTAGGTACACTTGTAAATATACGGTTATACGCAAAGAACATAGGTAATTTCTTATTAAGTACTTAATGTACTTGGTGTTTTTGCCAAGAAGCTGAACTTAATAAAACTAACCTGAGGAGAAAGGTTGTTCCAAGGTTTGGGAGTAGGGTTTTGAACACCGTCAGGGAAGAATCCATTTGTGCCTCCGACAGCCACGTTCATTATGATGTAGAACTGTAACAGAAAAAGTTGTTAATGCGCGTGTTAAATTAATACTAAATTCGTTAAAATCTGTTGTAAAAACAAAAATCTTGATGAAGTCATTTTGTGCTTATAAAATTGTAGATTGGTAACGTTTGTATAACAATTTAAAAAATATTAAATTAATTTGTGTTCCAATAAAAATGTTTCTAGTTCATTTGAAACTTCTATTTCACTGCATATTTGCAAAAACTATCTCACCTTTTCGTCAAACGGAGCCATTTTAGATCCGTACCGCCAGGGATTCTCTACACCAGCATGGTTGAATCCTCCGAACTCCCAAAATCCTCCACTGCCTGGGTCGATGAAACCTAGTTCCACATCGTCAATGCTGAATCTCATGAAGTCTGAAAAATAATATAAAAAAATATTTTTAAGCAGCGCCGTGTATGCGCAACAATGAAATAATATTGAAAAACATTGAGTACATTAGTGATTGTAAAATTATCTTTACATAAAACAAATTATTTGCATTTGTTTGATTACCTACTAGTTACATGAAATATATTTTTTCAATTATATGAAATATCATTGTTAAGATCTGTTTCAGGAGCTCGTCAATTTAGGGTAATTATTTTCCATTTTAGGCAGCTGTATGTTGAAAAAGAAAATTACCAGGAGTCCATTCAAACTGATAGCGATGGAAGTCATTATTCCAACCACGGGAGTCTCTTCTGACCCAATGCGCGCGTTCCCATCCGTTATGGAATATGGTGGGTCCGTAATGCAGCGTAGATCCGGCTTCCTGTGTACCGATGTGTACGCCGTTAAGTAACATATCGCGGTTACCTCGCGACTCTACTAGATCGATTTCTCCGGACGCTGGCCAAGTGCCGTAGGCGTTGTACGCTGGCATCATCCAAATGGCTGTAGAACAAAAAAATAATAATTAAGATTAGCATTTTTGCGTGTGCAGACATTTAAGCAACTTAAATTTGACAACTTTACTTCCACGACTCAAACACGAGTCACATAGTAGCCGTAGAGGTCCTTGTGAAAGAGTTCGTCCAGGGAAGTACTGTCACCTTACCTATTTCTGCCGCCAAGCAGTAATGTGACCATTACTGCGTTCCGGTTTTGAAGGGTAAGGGTAAAATTACAGGCACATGTGACTTGTCAACTTGTCAACTTGTCTTAGGGTGACAGGTGCAGTGACAGTGCCTCTCAGATCTTTGCAATTTCAAGCCTGAGTGGCACTGCAACTGTTATGGACAGGCATGAAGCTTACCAATAGGCACACGACTTGCTCGCAGCGACGACTTGCTTGCTCCAGCACATGATATTATAAAAAAACGTGCTAAAAGAGGGATTTATCTAGGTGATCCTAATATCAGCTAGTACCAGACAATGGGATCTTAGGAATTGCAACTATAAAGAAAAATAATTATGAAACTTCTATACCTGGCCATATCCAGTCACCGGCGGGCATTTTTGCGCGCACCTCGACGCGACCATATCGGAAATTGAATGACTGTACAGTGCGCAAGCGGGCACTTCTGATCGGATTCAGAATGTTGGTTGCCGAGCCAGTACGTTCGCAACCCCACCATTGAGGGTTTGTGCATCTGGAAAAGATACCATAATTATAGGAAATGAAACTATTTTTCCGGGCCCGAAACGTCGGTTTGTTTGAAAAAACAAATATACGCGATTTAAATCCGGAAAAATAGTTTCTTTTCCTATGTGTAACAACCGCGAAAACATAACAACTCGATAGATACCTACCATAATTAGTTATATTTTTTATGAGTCAAGCCTCTGTTGGTAACTGGTAACCACTGCTTATAAATATTTGCGATACTATAGAACCACTCTTCATATCGCAAATATGTTGCATGTTGCCAGGCATGGAACACACGATCTTAATTCCTCTGTACCTGTGGTAGTGATAGCTCTGCCGAACTTTTTTTTATGATACTATGTGACGGGACGAACAAATCGTGCGCCTGATGGTAAGCGAAACGCCTGTCCATAACAGTTGCAGTGCCACTGAGAGTTTTAAATCTCAAAGAAATGAGAGGCACCGCCGCTGCGCCCGTCGCCCTGAGACATAAGTTGAAAATTCCCATGTGCCTCTAATTTCACCAGCACCCTTATCCTTCAAAACCGGAACGCAATAATGTTCACATTACTGCTTGGCGGCAAAAATAGGTAAGGTGACAGTACTTCCTAAGACGAACTCTTTCACAAGGAGCTCTACTGCTACTAAAAATAATAATAAAGTGCCAGACAAAAATACCAATAATCTGGTCTCAAACTAGAGAATCCCTGTTTTGTGAGTACCAGAGCTACGAAATTCACTCCAGGGCGCTAAACACAACAACCTACCGAGCGCTCACGGTGCAGATCATTGGGCAAGCGTAATTGTCATAGAAGTTCTCGAATTTTGAATTTCGGAATAGAAAATGTTCTAATATTTAAACCACATGGAGAGTCTTTGAGTGGGATAGCCTGTATGTAGGTACGAGTATAATACTTGGTACCTAATAGATTTCCTATTTCTTGTATCCTGGTAGCGTAGAAATTCGCGGTCAGTTTTTATTTATTTGATTCTTTTTTTGATTTGATTTGATTATTTGATTTTATTTATTTAATTACAAAATTGTTACGAACCTTTCAGCAGGAGAGCCTCCCTCGAGGTTAATGTGACCATTGAACAAGAACGCATTGCCGAACTGATCTGATGTGAATGTAGGCCTAATGTTTAGAGCACCGTTTCTTACGTAAGTGTTCGAACGGTTGTTGTTGTAATACTGGAATTCCCAGTTCTGTAAATCAATGTGCGTTTATGAGAGATACAGAGAGATAGAGATAAATTTCTTTGTAAGCGTACACGGTAAATACAGTTTACATATTTAAGATTACTTACTCTTAGAATGGTTACACACGGCATCTTTCGCTACACTTGCGATTTATAGGCGGTTGCATCGACACAAACGCGCGTTTGTATCGATGCCATCGCGCGTTTACATCGCTGCTTAAAGTCGTGCGTGTGTAATCGTTCTTTAGCAAAGTATACAATGGTGGCGTTTATTCTTAAAGTCACATTACATTATATAATGAAAATGTTTTAAGTGAATAATATAGTTAAGGAAGAAAATATGATTTAATATAATCTCAGTACAGAGTACTAAAAAAACCGACCTCAAAAGTACGTGGAATTACGTCTATTTGCTAAGTTTCATTGAAATATCCCCTAGTTCGCCACTATACAGGACTTGATACTGGAGATAATAAAAATAGGTTCTCACTACGACATTACTCAAAGTATATTGAGAGAAAAACGCCTTGAATTGGAGAAATAGCAAAATCAATTAAATAATTGCTGAAAGTAATTGCTCCTAAATTAAAGTTAGGCGCTATTTATAAAAATGAATTTTCATGCGTGAACAGCCATCCTTTGAGGTGGATGATTTTCTTCAAAATAAAATGGGACCACTATGGAAATACCCCCTTTCCAACAAAAACAGAATCATGAAAATCGGTTCATAAATAGCGGAGTTATCGCGTAACATACATACAAAAAAAAAAGAAAAAAGAACATACAGTCGAATTCAGAACCTCCTCCTTTTTTGAAGTCGGTTAAAAAAAGACGAACGTAATAAACATATAAATAATTAATAAATAACGATTAATTTAATTACGCCAAATTGTAACAAAACAATGCCTTACTTTCTTAAACTCATGTCTTATAAAGAATGATTATTCATTCAGGAGATGGCAAAACTTTCTATTTATTTTAAATTTCTTATTAAGGGTGTGAATTTGGATGCATTACTTTAAGAATAGGTAAGAGCCAGTGCGTGAATATGAAGGAAATGAGATGTGAAATTAGCCTGCAAAATGTATGTATATACCTATGTACAGTTTTTGCGTTTCAATAACTTTGCGCTTTAAGATACGAGTTTGAGAGAGTAAGGTGACGAAAAAGCACATCAAGTTTCTAAATTGAGATACGGTTTAGTTATGTTGATATTTTTATTTAGGTTTGTTTATTTTGTTTTCCATTGGTACTGCCTCTGTGGCCGAACCGTTACTCATGCCTGACGGCCACGCAGAGGTCCCAAGTTCGATTCCCGGGCCGGGAGAAATATTTGTATGGCCTACTTTTATTTCTCTCGTGAGTTTGGGTGTAATTTGTGGTTGTCTATGTGTGTGTCCATAGCACCCGCGACCCAAGGTTTCCCTAGTGCGGGGCTATGTTGAGTTTGTGCGTTATTATTATTATTATTACTACAATAAATTTCCATAACTTATATTCTTTTTACCATAATAACTGATGTTTTATGTTAGGTAATACAAGTTACACGAGTCCCTTGTATATCGTTCGCTTGTGACATTTCAGCTGATATACAGATTTCGCCTAAGTGGGTAAATAAATACATTCAGCCATTCTAGACGTATTTTCAGCAAATCTTAAATGATAAATAACCAGTTGGGGTAATTAACATTACATTTGATTAGATAATTAACAAATAAATAGGCTATACATATCAACTTCGTCACTCTATCAAATGATTGGTTTGATATAATTGTTTAATCTAATTACATTTGATAAACAGGTTTTACGTTAATTATCGAAGAATTAAGAAAGACGTATGGTGTTGATTTTGATTCTGTTTACTCTATTATGGTTAAAAGAAGGGTAATGTTATTAATTTTGTACTAGTAATAACTGATTTAATAACTAATTTATTATTTCCAAAACTTAATCTATTATTACAGATTATCTTAGAATAATAACGCATAGAAATCTAGCCCGCACACGCTAAGTGAGGCAAATTGTAGGACGCCCTATGGGCTTACACGAGCGAGCGGGCTGTCAGTGCTCAAGGTCAAGTTCAACCGCGAGCAGCTCAAAAATTTTTGCTAAAAATGACGAAATGTGCGGTAATTGGGTTTCAAAATAGACCAGACAAATATAAAATAGACACTAACATCACATTCCACAAGGAAGTAACGCGTTTCAACTTGTATTTTTATCTAAATATTCACTAAAACAGAAAATTAATTTCGTTGCAACAAGATACGATAATGTTGCAAAGTAAAGGGTTTTTTCTCCCCATTTTGCTATTCTGTTTCAAAATTTCTACAAATGTACACTGTAGGGCCGCAACAACATTGTAGGGAATTTACGTTAGCTATTTTTACGTAATATGTTTAGTATTTGCCTTCATTAGTTTCATGTGAAAAATCATTATTCTTGTCCATCATACACTCATTTAAAAAAATTGTCTTGCCCAGACCCAAAAGTTCTGAACTAAAATTATTTCAGGAAACTAACACTGACTAAAAAGTCATCGTCAGTTCTCCAAAATCGTGTATAAATAACTTTCAGGTTCAGGTTCTTAATTGTTATCGTGTCCTTTTCATATAAACATACACACAGATAATATCAGGCTATTTATATTATTTAAATTCGATAGTCGCACTTAAATTCAGATATAATTTGCCATTTCCATAATGATTACCAAAAATAAATTTTTGAAAATTCCTGTCACTTGACGTTGTCGATCAACAGTAACGATCGACAAAATCGAGCATATCTGTAGGCACCTGATCGACAATCGACAAAATCGAACAAATCTGTAGGCACCTCTAACTTAACGATGAGTTAAACAAGGTACAATTTCCCCACTTTTGAGGGAAATGTTATTCCATGGCATCATTATTTGTATGTTTGTGTGCGTGCCGACGAGCGTAAATACCCGTTGCTTACGCCTACATGAATTTGATTTTTGCCTCACTTGTGTCAATTCGTTTTTTATGAAATTATCATTCTATGCGTTATTATTCTAAGCAGATTATCATATCCAATACCCAATGAAATAGACCAGCAAAATTACTACATGTAACATACGATGTAAAGCGCTATCTTTGTGAATTGACTTAGAAAACAATGGAACAAGAGTGCAATCTTTTAAAATAAGTATGTTAGTATACTTACGCCACCACCAGCTAGGGTGATTTCATGTTGCCACTTCTCGAGACTGAACTCGTCAAATTCGTCGGAGAAGATCAAATCACCCGAGCATACCGTTGAGGGAGCATGCGTGCCACTCACAGTTGTAACAGTAGGCGTACACGCCGTTCCCAACGACACCAGTGTCGCTATTCCTAGCAATAGGGACCACATGATGCTAAAAAGAAAAAAAGGTGTTTACTCCTGATTAGAGGTGGTCATTATTACAATAATAGATAATGTAATGCATTAATCTCACGCAATGTACAACTCATTATCGAACAACTATCGAAACGACTGTTGTTATACTGTAAGATCACATGTGCCATTATTAGACCAAGGGTACGAATTACAAAGTGTTGTGCCGGTGATGATTAGGCCAGACTTATATAAAGATAGTTCCAATGAACACTACGCCTATCTTTTGATCATTTTCTGTTTTTAACAGCCTTATTTTATTTACTAATATTATGCTCCCCGAATTTTGTGAAAAAAAAAGAAAAAAAAAACGAAATTCGAAAAAATAACAAATTAACCGAATTATTCGAAAAAAAAAACAATAAAAACAGAGATTACCAAAAAAAATTAAGTTGGCTTAGTGTTAATTGGAGACATCGTTATGATTTTTTTTATTAAAAATAGTGCGCATTTGACCTCCATCTCACCTGATGTAAAGTGATGATGAGGTCAACGATGTAGCATGCACACCAAAATAATGCCTATTCACTCTCGCCTTGAAAAGGTCTAAATTATAGCGTTCGGGGAATAAGTTCGCAGGTAGAGAATTCCACTCTCTAGCCGCTCGCCATATAAACGTGGAAGCGAGATGCTTCGTGCGAATCCTGGGAATATCAACAACATACGGGCTAAAGTTTCACAAGAATCATTCTTAACTGTGTTATATTTCGGTTATTGCAAGGGACATTTTGCCAATAACTACCTATATGTTCCTAATTCTGTATAAAATAAAACAAGTATGTATAAACACTTACCGGATCACTGACGGAATTAATGAAGACTCTTGATTATCTTTCTTTTTATACTAAATTACTTTAGATGAAGATAATGATAGTAAATGATAAGTAATTTTGTTTTTTGACATTTTATCTTCAATTATACTGATTAATTAATAAGCATTATAAGTAGTGACTGAAATATGTCAACAACGCGTGTTTTAGGCGCACCACAGATCGAAAATACATTATAATAAATAATAATTGAAATACTATTTATCATAGAAGACAATATTTTATTTATGATATCAAGTAATGGGATTAATAAGTTGTAAGCCTGGTGGTAAGCGACTCGCCCATTTATGGTAGTTGTAGTGCCAGTCAGGGCTTTAAATAGCAAAGATCTGAGGAACACTGCCACTGCGCTCGTCACCTTGGGACGTAAGTTGACAAGTCCCATGTGCCTGTAATTTCACCAGCACCCTTACCCTTCAAAACAGAAACACAGTAATGCTGACATTACTGCTTGGCGGCAGAAATAGGTAAGGTGGTAGTACTACCCTGGACGAACTCTTTCACAAGGAGCTCTACTGCTACTAAAGTACAAACGTAAACAACGTAAACGTAAACGTAAAAAACGTAAACGTAAACAAGTACCAAACGGTTCAGAATTGATGTTGACTCCATGCTATGAACCGAATTTTACTTGGATTTGCTTGCGTTCTGATTACACAAATTCAAAATTATGTTATTTAACTGCTCAGACTAACAATAACTTTAACGTTATAATTTTAATACGTTTGCATAATTGTTTACAATCATATTCATTTGTTTGTGCAGAATAGGTAGGTATAACATACAGTAAATGGTTCTGACACGATGCTATTTTTGTAATAGTTTGTATTTGCCTATTATTGGTTTACACTCGAATAATTTCTGCAGAGTTATTTTATGTCCATGTGTAATAATGTTTCTGTTTGCGAATAAATAAATAAATAAATAAACCTTGAGACAAGTGCCTGTAATATTAAAGCCGGAATGTGGTAATGTCACACTACTGCTTGGCGGCACAAATGAGTTTGGCGGCAGTACTTCCCTGGACGAACTCTTTCACAAGGATCTGCGTGGTGTAGTGGCTTGCACACAGGTTTTCATGGGTATCGCGATATCTGAGGTCCTGGGTTCGATCCCCGATCGGGTCATTGTACAAATTAAATTTTCCATATTGTCTCGGGTGTTTGTGGTACCGTCGTTGTTTCCAATTTCCATAACACAAGAGCTTTAGTTACTTACTTTGAGATCGGGGCAACGTATGTGTTGTTGTCTAATATTTATTACAAAAAATGTAAACTGTAAATAACATATTCTGAAAAATAAATCTGTTCTGTTCTATTGCAATGTGTGGTACACAATGTTACCACAGTATAATAAACACAAGAATGGTAACTCTATGCAAACGTAGCAGCGCACTAGTATGTGTGTAAAATTTACAAGTACAAAATTAACCTCGAACTTTATAACAAAATTAAACTCGAAATCAAAGGTTATCACGGGAAACTATTATGAATACCGTTTTTTTTTTCAAATTCTATTTACGTCCTGTAGTTACAAGTAAAATAATGATGTGACAACCCTGAACTACGACAGACGTGTAGGCGGTGACGCAGGCGGGAGCTCTACTTGTTTTATTATACTATAATGTACTGTCATTTATTATGTGCTTATTCTGGTATATTCAGCATTTATTTTGAGTCACTGTAATCCAAGTAGCGCCTTGCGATTTTTCATAATTTTCATGTAGAATTGTACATTATAGCATTAATTTGTACACTATGCAGTCCAATACAATAACATCAGTTAATTTTTTTTTAAATAATATATTTGTAGCATACACAAAATTTCGTCGCTTTAGAGTGAAAACCTCTTATACACATATCCACATAGTTCGTTTTTACTGATTTTTGTTGAAGAAAAACTTACAAACTTCTTGCTCAAATATATTATTTCAGAAAGAGCTGTAATTTAAGTAATTGAAATGCTAAATCCAAAGATTATTGCGTTTACTACATTTTACACCACATTTTTATCTTCGTCCTGAAAAATTACATAGAAATTATTCGAGGCTTTCGCTCTATGCCTACGTTTTGTAATTTTGGTCTGTAGTAAACATCGCTCAGTTTTGTGTGTGCTGATAGCGCTACGCGATTTACTGTGCACATAGTTGACAGGTTTGCGCAACTCATAAATAAAATGATTGATTATTAATTTATTTACTGCATTTCAAAACATTTTCCATTACGTTTAGACTTTTTCATTCCCTTAATACTATATTGCGTATTAAGGGCGGTAAATAAGGAATTACTAACGAGAATTTAGTAGCTCAACCTTCGTCTTCGAGCTTCAATGACTCGAGTCGATGTTGATGTGATGATTTTTCATCACATTTGCAAGGAAACAAATATAATGATAATTTATTTCTTGTACTAATTATAAAAAAGTCTATGGGCGTAATTCAGCCTTTTATTTTAACCGACTTCAAAAAAAGGAGGAGGTTCTCAATTCGTCTGTATGTTTTTTTTTTTTTGTATGTATGTTACGCGATAACTCCGCCGCTTGTGAACCAATTTTGATGATTCTTTTTTTATTGGAAAGAAGGTACCTCAGATGTGGTCCCATTTAAATTGCAAGAAAATATTCCACCTCTAAGGGTGGCAAACTAGGGGATGAATGACTTTTGAGGTCGGTTTTTTTAACCGGAGGTTAGGCTATCTTTCATAATGTTTAAATAATATAAGAGCAAAATGTATACCTATTAATTTTATAGAAGAGCGGTGTTTCCTGACACAGGCCCTATCAAGCCTCAAAGGAAACATGAACTCCTGAACCATGAACTATGCTATGTAAAATTAACAAATAAAATTTTATTTTATTTATTACAACCGATTTTGCCTGCACCACAAATTACACCCAAACTCACGAGAGAAATAAATGTAGGCCATACAAATATTTGAACCTGGGACCTCTGCCTGGCAGTCCGGCATGGTAACCGTTCGGCCACGGAGGCAGTTGTAGTGCCAGTGGTAGTGCCCCTCAGATCTTTGCAATATAAAGCTTTGAGTGGCACTCCAACTATTATGCAGAGCAGGACTTGTTTGTCCCGTCACTTGGTATTATAAAAAAAAGTGTATCGAAAAAATACTTTAATTTTCAAATATTCATGAGTAGCCGGGAGGGCAATTACGTATTCATAATTTTTTATTAATTTATTGAACACAAAGTCCTTCAGTCGAAAACCTTATAAACGTACGTATAACGGACCTTGGTGTTGGTGCCAACTTAACCAACTTAATAATAAAAAAAATATAAGGAAAAAATTGTTTTGTTTCAGCACTTTTAGAAAAATGCTTTATTTTTTATGCCGTAATTGTTGTTGTGACAAGTATTTTAATAAGAATTTTACGTTTTGAGGCTCCAGTTACTGGAAAGGGTTGTAACCCTAACAAGCCGTGACTAGGTTCACGGCAGTAAAACAGAAAACTTCAGGTCCGCAAATTTATTTGAGGTCGGTTAAAGAGAAAAAAAGGTAACAAAAGAAGGCACTAATAGGGCCGAGTTATACTAAATTACAGATACGTACCTATTGGCACATAATTCAGATTAGTGATGATTATAAATTTAGTAAAGGAATCAAAATTGGACGCGATTGAATTTTAACAGCTCCGTACGCTGTCGCGATCGAGCAGGGAGTCACGGTGGAACGAAACAAAATCGGAATGCGAGGCAAAAGAACTATGAGACAATTCAAAACTTAAATTGAAATGCGAGTGACCAGGAACCGGATAAAGCCGATAAAAAGGTGGGATGACGATGTAAGGAGGTCACACCGTGATACGGCAACAGTGACATAGCGTTATAATAGCGCTGCGTAGATCTTATGCTGCACTCGGCTTATTCCATAACACTACGTGATCGATATGATTTGATTATGATTAGATATCACATAATAAATAGTAGATACATCGCGGAATGCGTATCCGTGACTATTATTATGATATTCAGGGTGACCTCTAAATGTTCGGGACATTTTGAAAGGGTAATACGAATACTTTTTACTATGGGACCTGTCTGCTGCAGTCTTTAAAAAAGGTAAGTATGAACATTTTAGTATCTATGGGTATAACGATCCACTAAAAACCTCGAAGAGCTCTCAGGGTTACCCTAAGATTGAGCAGGTAAAATTCTATTATTTTAATTGCTAGCTTCAGAGTCGTTTATTATTTATCAAATTATTTATTTATTAAATATTCCTGAAACTACATAGCAGTTGGGAGTAGTACCTATAATTTATTACAGTACTTACAGTAGTTCTTAAGCCCTCGCTTCGGTATCATTCGAGTTTTAAAACTTTCATATATAATAAAATTATTACCTATTGATAAACTATAAATTTGGGGTGTGGCATGATTCCAAATATTAACCTTATAACGATACTTTTAAGGTAAGCTTTCAATTGCAATAGCGAATTCACGAAATATTAGGGGTTAAAGTATGAAATTGCCGTTTTATTGCAATAGGT